ATGTCGGATGGCGAGCAATTCAATAAAAGTCGGGGAAAGTTCCTCCGACACTTTGACTCGATGGATTGTTTTAGATGGATGTTTTACCGTCGGTGAAATATATATCGTATTAGCTATTGCTTTGACAGCTGCGCGTCACGGTGCTACGGTCTGCAACCATGTTGAGGTTTTGGAATTATTGAAAAAGGATAATGGAAAAGGAGCTAAAGTGGTGGATCATATGACCCGCAAAGAATTTAACGCTACTGCCCCATTTACGGACTCTATACGAAAAATGGATGACCCAACGATTAAGAGCATTTGCGCTCCTAGTTCGGGTGTACATATCGTACTTCCGGGTTACTATAGTCCAGAACAGATGGGTTTACTGGATCCCTCCACGTCTGATGGTCGAGTTATATTCTTTTTGCCATGGCAGAGGCATACCATTGCAGGTACCACAGACCTACCCTGCGAAGTAACCCATAACCCAGCACCTTCTGAAGATGAGATACAATTTATTTTGAGTGAAATTAAGCACTATCTGAATCAAGATGTAGAAGTGAGACGTGGAGATGTGCTATCAGCTTGGAGTGGTATACGTCCTCTAGTATCTGATCCAAATAAAGATGAAACGCAAGCCCTGGCTCGTAACCATATTGTCCATATTAGTGCTTCTAATTTAATTACTATTGCTGGCGGTAAGTGGACTACCTACAGAGCCATGGCTGAACATACTATAGACGCAGCAGTTAAAGGTAAATAATGACAGGAATCAAAAATGAGTTTATGGTTGCTAAATATGTGTGTATTTGTTTATGAAGCTTGTGATTTACAACCAGAACGACCTGAATCGGTAACAACTCTCCTAAAAATTGAAGGTGGCCAAGGCTGGTCGCCTACTATGTACATACGTTTGGTACAGGATTTCGGCTTGGAATGTGAAGTGGCTCAGCACTTGGCCAAATCATACGGAGATCGCGCTTTTGCTGTTGCAAAAATGGCTTTCCTTACCGGCAAACGTTGGCCCGTCATTGGTAACCGTATACATCCCGACTTTCCTTATATTGACGCCGAGATACGCTACGGCGTTCGTGAATATGCTTGCAATGCCGTTGACATGATAGCACGTCGCTTGCGTTTATCTTTTCTAAATGTCCAAGCCGCCCAAGAAGCTTTACCCGTAGTTTGTGATATCATGGCTGAAGAATTGAAATGGTCTAAAGATGAAAAACAGGTTAGACCGTATACACCTTAAAAACGATCTGATATAATTGATTCCGGTTTTCTATTTAATAGAAACAAATTAACAAAGCACGGGAATTTTTGGCTCTTGAAATGGGCCAGGCAGTTAAACGTATCGCCAAGGATCAAGTCCATGTGAATTTATCTAGCGAAGAAGTAAAGAAATATGTTAAGCGCTTCGAAATCATTGATAAGGATAAGAAAGGTTATGTTTCCATCAACGACATAAGAAGAGCACTTAAGGTAAATACTTTTTGTAACCTACACCACTTACGATACAAGAGTTAAATTTGTGCGGACGCATGCAACACCTAGAAGGACTTTTATTACTGAGTCAGAATCATCTTCTGATTCGATTTAACTGTGTTAATCGGAGTGATGTAGGGTGTCTAACGGTGGCCAGGGACCACTATAGTTTTTAATTCTTCTATTTATATATATGAAAAAAATTACGTTCATTCCTTAGAGCTATGGCGATGGCGATGTTTCCGGTGAACAATTGCATGAAATTCTTAAAGAAATCGATACTAATATGAACGGTCAAGTGGAGTTAGATGAATATTTGCAAGTAAGACTTCAAAATTTCGTACTTCAAATTAAATGATGATTAATTGGTAATATTAAACAGATGATGTCTGCCATTAAGACGGGGGAGGTATCCTATTCAAGGTTTGCCCGCATGGCCGAACTGGAGGAACAAAAAGAGGAGGCCGCCCAATTTAAACGGAAAATCACAGTGGATCGTTCCGGCGGTGGTCTGTAAGAGATAGCCGAGCCAAGCAACGTGTTCGTTTGCGATCTTTCGAAGGAAGCTTTGAACTTTTTTTTTTGTTTTGTATAAAGACGTAGGTGCCATAAGAGTTTTCTCTTTTCTTTCCTTTTACGAAATTTACCAATAATTTAATTTGGTTTTTAGGATTTAATCTTTTATTAACCTTAAAGTGTTTCGAATGATTATCCAATTAACAAACAATAATTATTCAATGTGCGCACAAATGCCGAGACAAAAAAATCTATTTATTATTTAAGTTTAAGTTAATTGTGAAGAAATAAAAAAAAATTAATTCAGTTTTTGAAGAAAGATTCCTTAAAAATACTCTCCCGATTTTTCTTATATACGTTATCACTGCTCAAATAAACAAATATTTTTGAATGCAACCAAAGGCAAAATGATTTAAGGAAATATTTTTTATGGAACCCTGGTTTTGCATCCACGCACTCGTAACTGCAGCTATTTTTATACCCTACACCATTTGTAATACAAGGATGTACTGAGTTTGTGCGCACATAGGAAGCGCGCGGAGCGACTTGCCTATTATTATATCGGTTGGTCCACAAAATAATTCGATCTAAGCTTGTCTGCCTCTCTGTCCACCTTGTGTTCAATTCACAATGCCTGATTTTGGAAATATTTTATTGAAATTTGGTACGCTGACGTGTTTTAACCCAAGGATGAACGCTATTAAAAATATTTTGGATCGCAAAAATGAAGCTATCCACGACAACAGAAACATTGAAATTTCTTGCATGCAAGTTGCCATACAAAATGGTCCAAATCGGTCGGAAGACACGTCCGCATTACCACCTAAACTGGAAACACCTCTGTTTTTCAAAAGGCGAAATTTTTTTTGTTTTGCTCACTATTCATAAACTGTAGCAGATAAATGTATAACAATTATGCTGTAGTACTTGTCCAAAAATGAAAGAATTGATCAAGCCTACACAATATTACGGTGCATTAAAAACGCATTTTTTTCAATACTTTTCTAACCCGCAGGAACAAGCTCCAGAAACATTTTAAGGATAACAATTTTTGGGTCAGTTTCAAATTTAGTGTCCATCTAAGAGTGTCCGTCTGTTCGTCTATCCATCTGTCGGTCTGCTAAATTTGCAAAAGAGTTTGGAGGTGACATAAACTTTTTGAAACGTTTATTTTGAAAATAAAAAAAAAACAGCCTCACCCACACCATATTATAAAGAATGAAAATTCAATTCTTTCGTTTTTGTTATCATTTTAGGATAACGAAGATGGAAAAGATACCATCACGACCACATATCTATCAGCTATCTTACTTGTTTTCTTATTTTATTTTATTTGCTGTATATTCACCACAGATTGGTATTAATAAAAATGTTGTTCTCGAATGTTGTCGATTTTGTTTACTTTCCAAATAATTTTGGAATGATTTATCGTAATAATAGTATCGTAATGCTAATGGTTAAATTGGATAGTTTTCAAGTTTGGAACAATTCGGATAAAATGAAAAAATGAAATTCTGAAAGCTCGATGTTAAATTTCAAGTAATGTAAATAAATTCCTTCCCTTAGTTTATTCGTTTGATTCTCTAATTCGAACCACGAGTAGGGCCTTTTTTTTTTTTAATTTTCTTATTGGGGATATTCTCAAAGAAAATAATATAACTTCTAGTCAAAACTAAAACTTAATGTTATGGATAAAGATTTCCAAGAAGAACTGAGAACAAGCAATTGATGCCAGGCAACAAATCGCAAACTTTTTCGAGTTGATTGGCAAATCTGGAGATTTAGTTGCAACAAATTTACATTAGCTGCCATCAGTCGCTGTGAAGGCAAACATTTGCATTTTATTTCGATATTGCAAACAATGTTTTGGGAAACAATTGAAACCAGGAGCGACTGGAAAATAGGAGAAGAAGACTAAAAATATAGGCAACTAAGCTAAACATTTAAAACAAACTAGGGATACAAGAGTAAATTGCAAATGGAAAAATGCTGCGAAAATTTATATAAATATTTATTGTTTAGGCTATAGAGGAGTCGAAGATTGTTGTTGGAGCTTTGACGGAGATTCTACAAGAAATGCAAGAAAGAAACCACAAGATACATTATCAATATTTTAAGCTATACCCTACAGTGGCTTATGACTTTCACTGTACACTGCTTCGCCCAAAGCTGATTTTGGAGTCAAGTTTAGTTTGTTGTTTTGCTTGTACGGTTTGCAAAGACTAACTATACTTCCAAAGGAAAACTTCGACAAACATATGGTGGAATGTTTGTAAATACTTCATAACCTTCTGCAATTCGATATAGTTAATAAATTGTCCTTACTTTTGTTGAAATTCTATCCATCATCATTGCTACTAAAAACCCACAAAGCCATCATTCCTTTTTTCCAGTTTTTTGTAATCATCAACTTTATCAAGCTTTTTATCAAAAATGTCACCGACTTAACACTACTTTGAAAGCAATTCAAGAAAAGCCAAGCAACTAATGGATTTGGGCTTGTTTAATTTATCCCCTTAGAGGTGGTAGCGGAACTGCTATAATTGCGTGTATATATACATGGTCGCTTGCTGCTCAATTGTTCGAAAGCATTTAATGTCATTCTTGTACAAATAGCTTTAGCCGTTTACGTCAAGGCGGCGAAAGAACTGAGATTAGTTTTATAGGAATTTGTCGAATAGCGGAACGCATTCGACTACCCATTTGGGTAGTCTACTGAACTAGATACGCTTGTATATACATAAACATACATACCATCATACATACAATCCCATCCGTATACATTTTTATAGCTCAACTTTTTTGTAAAAAAACCCCATTGGCTTTATGATTTTTAAACATATTTTTGTTTTAATTTGTGTTTATTGCAATTAAAAAAAAAAAGGGTAAATTATTAAAAGTAAAAGCAAAGATATATTCGATTTTTAATTAAAAAAGTGATTTAGAAAGTAATAATATCGTTGCTTCAATTTTAAAAACAAAAAGGTTTCGATCTCGAAAATGTATACTCTAAAGGGGTGAAATAAAAATAAAAGCATTTATTAGCTTCTTGCTTCTTTACTTCTAGCCTCTAAGAAGATTGAAAACGTTAGATAAGCATAGTAGTCGTTTAGAAATTCTGAAAAAGAATCAATTTAAAAACTTACGTGAGTTAAAAGTGTTGGATACAAGCTTTAATAAAGATATTAGAAGCCCAGCATGTAGCCGATCTTACCAACTGAATCAGAATCAGAGAATCAAATAGATGGCACCTCTCTAGCCAAACGTCTAATTCGGCTTTTAAACGCCGATTCTCTGCCATCAGTACCGCCTGTTCTGATGTCGTTGGTCCATAGTCGAACATATCATTATAATCATTATCATTAACTATACCAAGAACGGGAGCTTATAATAATATATGGCATACTAGTATTATCTCTCAGCGCTGTTTGTATGCGTAAGTTTCGTCCCTTGTATCTGCGTCACATAAGAATGCTTATGCAAGTATTTACTTTTAGCGGGTGCCGCACAAGTCGGCTTCAATCCCGTTTCCGGAAATCTTATAGCGGCCGCTCGGCGATCTTCGGATACGGGGTACACACAAAGGTTCATGCTCCACACACTACATAACGGCGCACTTGAACAGGGTTTTATTTTTTGTTATCCTTACATTGTTTTCCACACATCTCTACATCTCTATATATTGTGGAGTTCGCTGTACTAACTGGAGTCATCGCCGAGTACCTGGTCAGCCAGTGCCAGTCAAGACGGCACCGGTAAATACTTTGACATCAACAATCCTCGTCGTGCCGAAAAGATAATAGTTTTATCGTTGGTTAGTTATATCGGCTTCCTAAGACGGTTTTCCACACCACCCATGAGGTACCGTGAAAGGCGCGTTGTCAATTGTTTTAAATGGTTGGCTCCCGTGTAGGCCTACACCATTATAGACTTAATTAGAAATTACGATAGTATATACAATAACAATAATACATAATAATACATAGTAATACGTAATAATACGTAATAATACGTAGTAAATAAAAAGCCCCGCTAATATATACATACATAATGATACATAACATACATATAAATAAATAAAAATTCCTGCTATGCTATCCTCAAATCTGCAAAAGAAAAATATTGTGAATAATAAATTTTGTATACAAAGATGACCAGAACTTACCATTTGGCCTACGCAAGTATCGCATTTCGCTGAGGCGATAGTGCAGGTTTATTCCACTTTGTTTTTAAATTGAAATGAAATAAAAAGAAATGAAAATATTATACATAATCATAACTAAAGATAAACACAACTACCTTGACATACGATGAATCTTGACAACGTATAAGAGGCGGTGGGTGGCGGTGTATCGTTCCCTTTCAATCTGAAGAAAAAAATTAGAATGAAAGTGAGAAAGCTATTTACACATTTGGATTATATCTCAATTACCTTTTATTTGCGGCTTTTGAAGCGCGATTCTCCTTACTTATGCGGGCCTATACTTGAGCGGAGAATATGGTGGGCGGATATTTTTGTATTCTGTAATAGAAGAAGGAAATTAGTGATTTATGTATATATTTATATGATATTGCTTTTACCTTCATTTTGCTGGTTTTCCCGCACGATTTTCCTTCAAAACAATCCTTGTGGACTTTTTCTGTTCTAAAATAGAAGAATGAAATCAGTATTTTCTAAGTTAATTGAATAAAATAATTTAATCACCTTCATTTTACTGGTTTTCCCGCACGATTTTCCGTCAAAATGATGACACATTGGTGACAGTTGGTTGTACCCAGTTTTTTCCAATTAGCAACAAATTGATGATGAAGCCCAGAAGATTTGTTCGGTGGTTTCTTCCGTTGGTACAGGAGCCTGCTTCCCTGAAGAAGGCAAGCCGTGCCACTATCGTCGCCTGCACGCGCTTGCCGATGTTTGCCTCGACCATATGTTTCTGCATAATGGACTTGTAAATATCGCAGGCGTCACAAAATGCGGCATAGACTTTAGGCTTTGGGAATTCGGGTTCCAGATATTCGTGGGCTAGGATGACATCGTCTCTCGGGTCATTGGCGACAATGTCACCGGTAAGTTGTGAGCAGACATCTTCTTTTCTTTGGGTGAGGTCTTCTAGACATTCTTGACAACGCACCTGTTCACGTATATACTGAGCTATTCCGTAGCCCGTGAGCAGCCGGATGTAGTCCTCCTCTTCTTCAGTTACTTCTCCGGTGAGTATGTCGTCGAATACCACCCCATCCAGGCCGAATGGCAGGAACTTGTCTTCGGCCTGGTGTTCCGCCGTTCTATAATCCATCTTCTCTATAAGGTGGTAATCATCGGTGGTCGAGTATCCGCTGCCCCAAAAGTCGATTTGTGATTTAATTAGGCGGTTGACCAGCTTCATTATTTCTGTCGTCGGTCTGGTACATTTTCCCTGCATTGGCGCTATCTTGCAGAAGAAACGTTCCAGTGGGTCGTGGCTTACTCTGTACGCCTGGATAGTTATGCCAGGGTAAGCTTCCAGCAGCCCATCCATTAGTTCCGTAAATCTCTTCATTGTTTGCACGGTTTCGCTCGCTAGCAGGTCCACCTCAAGGGTTGCCTGGAGGTATTTTGTAACTTCTGCTAGCACCGCTTTCTGGGCCTGCCATTTGGTGCTGCTGATTTTTCCGCTGTGAAATATTGAGTTAAATTTTGTTAAAGCGGCGAGGAGCTCATACGTCCGAATTTCTTTGGCACCGCTGATGAATTTTCGATCAATTGCTGTTTTCAACATTGCTGGCATTGCTGGAGTGAAAAATTGAACTGTTTCCATTAGATTTTGAGGTGAGGTAACTAACAAGCTGGCGCCTCTCTTCTTCCAGTGTCTCCAGATGGGCGCGTTCCGCGCAGCTACTTTGGTGACAATTGTGGCGTCGTATCGTCGGTTGTGTTGTATAATTTCTTGGTGAAATTCATCCAGGATGTGTATATAGTCGTACATGTGCACGACAATATACATGCTGCCATCCGCACGTTGCCTGTTGTATTTGCCGTTTGTGAAATTCGTTACTGTCTTGCGATTTTGAACGCTCCTATTGCAGACCACCGCTTTTACATCCAGCCCGATCTCCTCTGCTATTGTTAAATTTTCCTCTAATAGGTCTGCATTGCCTTTGTAGCGGGTGATAGGATGGGCGCTGAGTAGAATGTTGAACGCCGTCAAGATGCTGCGCACACCGAAGACGAGGACCGTCCGGTACTCCTCCGTCTCCGTTAATTTTTGGTTTAGGATGTACCCGCATCCATACAGTATATCCTCGGTTCTAGAATATATTGATCCTTGGTCTGTGTACACTTCATCGAAGTGTAGTTGTACGATTTTGTCGTGAGGAGTTAATTTCCTCACGACCTCTCGGAGTACCTCAATGTCCGGCATCACGCTGTCAGTTTCTTCTATTTCCTGGCCTTCATCTGGGTTGACAACGGGTTCAAGGCGTTTATTCTTCTCCTTCCGCGCTGCCTCCGCCGATGTTGTCGGTTCCTCTTCGTATATATCATCGGTGTACCTATTTACATTATAACTACAATCATTACTGCTATTATATCTATCGGGGCTTTTTACACTAAATGGGCTTTCCTCTATTTGGTTTTCCGTTTGTTTCCCAGTTTGTTTTCTCTTTCTTTTCTCCGGCAGTTTTTTTAACTCACAATCCGTGTCACTCTGTATTTCTCCGCACACTGCGTCTACAGGTACTTCCCCGTAATTTAACATTTGTGTAGTTATTCTATCAACAGCGTGTTTCAATCCTAATTTGTGCGCGTACCACACATACGGGCTCATACCCGTATAACCTGTCCCCTCCGACTTGTCCAATCGCTTTAAGCTCATTTTAATTGTTTTCAATTTTAACCTGACATCTTCTACTGTTATAACCATACCTGTTTTTTTTGTCAGTACGTCAGCTAACTCCCTACCAGCTACCTTCCAGCAAATATATCCCTCTTCCAGACCCCACAATCCTGGGTATTTCTTCAATAATTCACTAAATATTACGTCTGATATGTAGACCATATTGGTGTACTATATATAAAATAAATAAAAAATAATATATATGATAATATGTATAATAAAATAAATGTTATAAGTAATAATATAAAATAGTAATATATCCTGAAAAGAAGAAAAGAAACAAAAAGGCGATAAGAACATTTGGTCATATATAAATACATATCTCATGATTATTATTAGTTAAATAAAAATTAAACACAGATCAGCAATTTTTAATTTCAATTTATTTATATATATACATAGCATTACATTTTTTACATTTCTTTAAATTATGCTTTTAAATACGTACTATTTTCTTTATTTCTTTTTATTTTTCTTTTTAAATTTTAAAAGGAAGACTTCAGAGCTATCATCAACCTCTAAAGGTTCCCTTTAAAGCCAACACATAAAAGTAGAAATTTTTATAGGGAAAAAGGTTAGTTTAGGTGGACTTAAATCTACGCCATATACGATTGATTTTCCCATTATACAGAAACTTAATTGCTAATTAACTAACAGTCACACAGCTGAAACAATGGAAAAGCTTCTTATAGAGTAATAATTAAGCAAATTGCTGTACTTTGTAAATAAATAAAAAAAAATCATTAAAAGTTTTCATAATTTGGACGTTTTATACCTTGCACCACTTGCGGTACTGGGATAGGTTAAGTTTGTGCGAATATAGGTAATACACGGAAGGACTTTTGTTACTTTTTGTCATACGGATCGCTGATCTGTCCACCTAATTCTTGTGTTCAATTTGAGGCGCGTAGACTTCGAAATATTTTCGGGAGATTGGGTAGACTGAAAGTTTCGGCCCAACGGCGGAAGCTATTGCAAATAGTTCGCATTGGACCATTTTTTCGACCACTTCTCATACCACACCTTATTTTGAAAAGTCGTTATATTAACAACTGTTGGCTGATGTAGGGTATTTAATGGCGGGCCGTGGCCCCCTATGGTGTTTTTAATGGTTATTCTTCATTTTCATTGCAAAAATATAATGATGCAGATAACGCTTGTTTATGACCAGAAATACTAAACAATAAATCATACTAAAACAAACTTTTCACATCAAATGAATTCTAAATAAATGTAAAACGCACACTCGTTAATCGAGAATTGTGAAACCTCTTCTATTGGCCTCTTGGTAATGATACAGCTTCCATCCATTTAAGTCAAGCCATAAGTTTCGGGCATTTGCCAACGTCTGTATCGATAAAATTCACTAAAGATGTACCACTACTAACGATGCTGAAATCATCATCTTAGAATAAGAACCTCTCTAAGAATTGAATCAATGTTATTAAAAGATTTTAAGATGTTTTACTGAACTTTCAACAGATTTAACTGGTTTTACTGAACTTTGGACAGATTTTAATTCAAACTATAATATTAACTCGAGTGTCAGTTTGGCTGTAAAAAAATGCGCTTAAATCCACTTCTGAGAAGAAACGAAATGATTTTCCGAACAATCTAAGATCTTATGATGCTTACACAAGCCTACCATAAGTAGGCTGCACCTAGAACGTTGATGAACCTATTTTGGTGTGATCTTCCTCTAATGATTTGCAAATGGATGAAAAAAAGTGTAAATAAAACACACGTGACATGCCGCTGTAGTCGTTAATGTTGATAATTTTCGCATTTGCGCGTAACGTTTGTAAATGTTCATGCTATTTTCTAAATTGATAAAACAAGACAAAACATGGGGACATATACGTTTTAACTGCCTGTATTCTATTTTCTTCGAAAATCTATTTTTAAAGGAAACATTCTTAATTTAAATAAAGAAAAATTTAATTTAAAAATGATATATGACCAATCTAAGTATTTCGAATGACATTTGATTAAGTTTTGCCTAAATTTTGAATAAAGTTGACTAGAATCCATCCTTTACCAAAATATGTATTCTTTATACGATAGAATGCGGTTCTCTTTTTTCTTTATATATTTTATTTTATTTAACAATTTTGCAATTTACAAAACTTCCTCGTGCACTTTTGAAATGCTTTTGTTTTCTCGCTGAAAGCCGTTAGCTTGTTTTTTTCATATCGGCGGCATACAACAACAAATGAGCGCCGCCATACTTGTATGTACTCGTATATTATGTGTGTACGTACATGTTGTTCGCATATCAGCTATTGCTTTTTTAAAACCAGCATTAAGAGTAAAGAACATACATAAGTTAGAAAACTGTTCTGAACGTTGGTGGTAAATACAATAATTATATGATCTACTTTTAACAAATTTACTCAAACAAATCTCCCTAATAAAGCTTTTGTTTTTTTATATAATATTTTTATATATAAACTAATAAATAAATAAACAAATAATACATATATGTATATATATATATTCGTATTTATAGAGAGAGAATGTCTCAATGTAAGAAAAGCAAGGTTCGTTCATAAAGCGTAGATCTACATTTTTCTTGTTTTATATTTGACCATTGGGCTCCTGATTTTGTGAAGTGGATTTGGGAAAAGACAGTGAAGTTTGTAAAGGCCGTTATATTCACAAAGTAGTACTACTTCGAAATTCTAAATTTAAGTGAAATTCTCGCAAATATTTAGATCATGTCCATAAAAGAAGCATAGATATGTTTTAGAACATTGGAACAATGGAAGAGTCCCAATACAAGTCAAAAGGAAAGGAAGAGTTGTGCTGAGCGATGCGAGCATTGCCGTCACACCAAACCGAATAAGCCATCTAGAGGGAAGAAATCCAAATCTAGAAGATCTAGAAGGAGATTACAATTAAACAATCCCAAAAATAAATAAAAATACATACATCCATGTAACAAATAAATGAATAATATGAAATAAACTAGGTAATTAGGTGAAGTGATCACCAGCTATAAAGATTTTTCTTTTTTTCTTTTGGTTTTATTGCATTCATGGTTTATCACATGATGATGTGGGATTAATTTAAATCGAAAATTACCGAAAGAATTACGCAGTAAAGAAATTCACTAAGAGAATGCTTGCCACATACGATATAAAGAGAGACAGACTGATCCAGTGAAGTTCTTTCAATGGATTTATATACAACTGTGGACTAAGATAAATTGGTAAATAATTATTATTAAAGGCTAAGCGACAAAAAGGCAGATAGAAAGGAAAGCGAAAAGATAGGCGGAGAATAAACGCTCAGGCATTGGCTTATAATGATATAATTAATGTTAAATTTGCAAGTGATAAAAATGATAAAAATGTTAAAGTCGGGCGATGTAACAAAAAAGGCGACAAATCTTTCGAATCAACAAAAATTTTCTGAACGGAGTAACAGCCATAAGGAATTTTTTAATGTTTTCTATACAGAAGTCTATACAGGTGCTAATCATGGAACGTTCCAAATTGCATTTTCGACATTCATCCCTCTTATTGCTTGGCTTGAAGAATATCTGCTGCATCAAACTCTTTCAGAAGTTTACGGTGATGCTGATTCATCATATCCCAACTTTTGGTTTTGTTTCAACGGTTTGAAAGCGAGGATGTCGATGTCAATAACAGAGCGATCTGGGGGACCGAACAGTTCGAAGACAATGAAATGCAAAACTCTTTGGACGAAACGCTACCTGAAACTCTCAAAGGACTTTTGAACAGCTGAGCAGTGGATGAATCAAGTGTTTGTGGAAGTTCGCATGCGACGGAAAAGATACAAAAGGAGAGAAAAAGGAGGTTACCGTACGATTTGACGGAAAATGCTATTTCGACCCGTCTCAACATCGCGGTTCCATTGCTTGCTAGGCAGAAAACTAAGAGTTTTCTGTGGCGTATTGCGATCGGCGACGCCAATCTGAATATGTTATGACAATCTCAACCGCAAGACGTCATCAAGAAGAACCATTCACATCGCCACCGAAGCGGAATATTCATGGCCATAAAGTCTTGCTATGCATATTGCGGAATCAGCAAGGTGTAGTGTATAACGAGCTGCTAAAACCGAATGAAACCGTTATTGCAAATATCTACTGAGGTCAACTGAACAAATTGAGCGGTGTATTGACCAGCAGTAGCGGCTAACAGACGCAAAGGCATCGTCTTGCATGACAATGCTCGGCCACACGCTTCAAGCGTTATCAAGGATACCCTGCTGAAGTTTAAATGCGAAGAAATGATGGAAAATAATTTATTATACGAATTTTTGCCAACAAATGCCTTTTGCAAAATACATGCAATCTCCTAACAATCTTATTTTATTTTCTTATATTTTTAGCTAAAATCATGTAAGCTTCCCCTACGAGCTGCTTCAAGAAAATGTTACAAAAGTCGTCTCTACAAATGCTAATCATTTCACAAAAGACTCTAGTCAGTCTTGCATTTTAATAACTGTTCTGGTATAAATGGAAAAGTTGATCAATAATCAACCAATATTTTCATCGTAACTCTCATCATTATTACCATTACCATAATGTCATATTTTCCGAATGTTCATCAAAGCAGTAATAAAATGAGCAGCAACATGTCGTTGGATAATGCCTCAGATCAGGATTATAATGAATTTTTAAGTGAATACCCCTTACAAACGCATTCACCTAATAATGAGCCGGAAATTCAGTGCGAGGATAAATATTATGAACAAAGTATATAAATATAATATAATTGATTATCATTAATGTTTTGTTTTTTAATTTTTTGGCATATTTTTGATAAACTTAATGCTAACTTGAAAACATAGAAGACGAGTTAGAGGCTGAATGGCTAATTGCGGCTGGTTCAAAACCATTGGAACAAGTATGTGAGAAAGGGGTATGCTAAAATTTTTTTTGAGAAAAGTATACAATCCAGAGTATTTCACGCTAAATTTTAATATTAAACATTGTTGCGCATATGCAGTTCCCTTTTCGAGAAGTACTATTAGACATCGGTCCGTTCTCGATTGAAAGGAGAACTGCCCTCATCTTATTTTTTTGTACTTATGGTGTAGAGTAAATGTGTGCCAAAGTATGTAACACGCAACATTATTATTCATTTGTCTGTCTGTCCGTCTGGTGTCTGCCCGCGTAAACTTGTATTCAAGCTATAGGTCGCAAATTTTGATGAAATTTGGTACATTAACATTGGTGCTTTTACCCAAGGACCAACACGATTGGCAATGGTTCGGATCAGTCTACTTCTTCTTCCGCTCGCCATATAACGCCTTATTTCGGAGAGTTGAGGGTGATATAGTGACGATACGAAAGCACTTTGCAAGTAAATAATAAAGAGCGTAGGAATGACAAAAAAAAAGACAAAAAATTGTAGTAGATTCGACGTTACCCCATAACAGATTGGAAAGAAGTGAAAATATATATTTGCATGCTCTCTAGTGTATATAGTATATGACGATCGCGGCTGATTTTCTCTGTTTCTGTAGAATAATTTAGTGGACCTTTTATATTGTGCATCTGTTATGGTTTATAGGCAAGGAACAAAGATGTTCTCAGTTTTAGTTGTATAGGTATGTGGGCGTTGCAGGCGTCTTCTTTAACCTTTTTTTTGCAAATTTTTAGGTGTTATCTCCTTTGCGAACGGAAAAACGTGTACCACAGATACGATATAGATTATGTCAATTGTTAATCTCTGCACCCGGCATGAAGCTTTATCAGACGAGTTCTCTAGAACTATTGGCAGATTAATGAGTGAATCAGCCTTGCAACACAACCTTGCAGAAGAGAGGGCCTATTCCAAGAACTAAAGTACCATAATGAAAGTTTAGGATGGTCCAAATCCCCTTTTTTGGGAATACTAGAGCTACCACGAGTACTCTACGAACGGTCGCACCATGGCGGTAACGTCTCACACACCGGTTGAATCTGTTGCGTTCAAATTGTGATTGCATACAGCAGCTTCCGCCGCAGTTTCTTACATGGTATATATACAACTCCGTCTTAACCGATGCAGCCACCCCTACCCGCCTAACACGTGACATTGAATGGGTGGGCAACCTGATGTCCATGGATTTCATAGCTTTTTTTTGCAATGCTTTAGAATTATTGGCATTACGTCTATAATTATGGTCACACTTGCATTCGAACTAACCACATTTCCTGGAGAGTCAGCCAACTATTCTTTTTCTTGGATTTATTGCACAAGGAGAAGTAATCAACTCAGCAAACGCCATGCACCTCATCATACTACACTATTTGTAGCCCCTTCCGTAACCATGAGGTTATATCCTGGAACTCCCTTATAGTTGATTACACGGTGACGAGTCCGCACGCAGTCGACCTCTGACACCATGGAAGATTCTCTAAGAAGGACTCTCAAGTGGTCGAGAAAGGCAGATATGACACACTTAGGCACACGAACAGATGGACATGTTTATGCCCACGCGGACTATATCCAACGCCGAATATTGGCGCTAGTTTGCCACAACGCTTGCAACACCAAGGAAGTACCTTCAGAGACTCCAAGAAGTATATATAGCATCAAATCCTGAATCGATTTAAGCATCCCCATCCGTTCATCTGTGTGATGCCCTTTGTAAATATTCTCCTAGCTGCGAAAATGAAGTTATAGCTTCAGTTTCTTCAATATCTTTATAACGCACAGAAGCAAGCTTGAAAAACCCGCCAAAGCATCTATATTCTTGGTCGATGTCACGTTCAGAATACATTTAAGCATGGGTGTGTGTTCATCTTCTGGTCTGCTCAATGTATGTAGTATCTGTGGAACAATGAAACATTTGCAAACACGAACCGGTCAAACGTTTGCAAACACAATCGGCATATGCAACAAGGTGCAAGGTGTGAACTACTCTTCTTTCCTTGTGTCCTGTTTGTTACTCATAAAATACCACACATACACGAGATAAACTTCTTTATTCTGAAAATAGAAAAAATCATCTGCTCCCACTCAGTAGTTCTAGCTCTTTTCCTTTTTTTTTGTTACTTTTTAATGCGCTTTGGATTTTTTAATTTAAAATTTTCAGTGAAGAACTGCTGTAAGAGAGTGGTTCATATGGCGAAGATATGACCACAGCTGAATTATTGAAAATAAGAAATATGTATCAACAAGAAGCGAGCGTACCGAAACCGGTAAGACAAAGTCTGCGATTTTATGCGACTATGTTTCTATAACTAACTTCCACCAATTTACATAGATTTTACCAATTAATGAGGACTGTGAAAATTGGCACTCCATCTCGAACCGTATGGCTCAACACGCTCGCGATCTTTGCGAGCATATTACGCCTAATCTTAGAGCCCAGAAAGTGTAAGCATTTGAAAGGCGATTACCGCACCGGGCGTCTCATAAATATGAAGAAAATTATACGGTACATAGCGTCGCAGTTTCGCAAAGATAAAATCTGGTTAAGGCGTACTAAACCCGCCCAACGTGATTATAAGATTACTATCGCCATCAATGATTCCAAATCAATCCATCATCACTCGAAAATGTTGACATTAGAAGCCATATCTTTAGTTTCGCATGCGTTAACTTTATTAGAAAGTGGACGCTTAAGTGTTCTATCATTTGGAGAGAGGCCGCAAATCCTACTGAATCATACGGAACAGCTCGATGGAGCAAAATTAGTCAAGCATTTGAACTTTTCACAAGATAAAACAAAAACTGCTGAACTTTTAGATTTTATACGAGTCATTATAGCGGAGGAATGTTGTAAGAGCTCAGGTAATGGAATCTTTGAGAATCTTTTGCTAATATTAAGCGATGGTCGCAACATATTTAGCGAAGGAGAAACAAAGATTTATAAATAATTCTAAATTACTTATACAATTTTACTATTCTATTCTATTATACAAAAAAATCAATATAAAAATCGTATTTAGATTATTGCCCGTTTCCTTATTATGTCATCGTAAGAGATCTTAATCAATTGTCTTTAGTTTTAAGTGAAACAATCCGTCAATGGTTTGAGTTGGTTAACCAATTCAATTGAAATTGAATAAAATAAGATTTGGAAGGATTTATGTTAAACTACAATACTTTTTTTCTTTCTTTTCCTTATCATAGAATAATACGGTTATACGCAAACCGTGATATTGCACTCAACTTTATCATTTTTATATTTAATGGTATTATAAAAGTTCTACTTGTAAATCGAATGGGGCAGTCTTTAGAATTCGAGCTTTGTCTAAAAATCTATGTATGCTGCCAGGCAACGTCGCTTTTACCATCCGATAATTTGGCAAAAATCTCATAACAAGCACAGTTTTGGATATGCGTGACTTTTGGGAATTTTGTAACAAGGATGTGTTGGGAGTTCTACATTACCTTCGCCAAATGTTTTCGTCTCAAAGCGTAGAGCGTATGTTTTTGCTTTAAGTTTGGAAGTTTCAAAATCAAATTTCCACAAGATTTCCGCACTCTCACTGTCTTCTTGATGAACCAGATAAGCCATTTTCCAATCACGTGTCACTGTCCGTAGCATATTCTTAGAAGAAAACTGACAGTCTTGCCATGAAAAACATGTCCGCAAAAGTTCTGGATTTAATTCTTCGGAATATGTCGCACATTGTCAACTACGGCTTCAACGTAATAAATCCAATGGATTCCATTACGTCTACATGCGAGGGTGTGTAAGTATTGCTTCCACGTGTCAAACAAATTCCATTAAATGTACAAACCAACAGACAAGCCACCACGTGTGTACCTTTTCGAATCGTTTTTAAGAATTAAGGAAAAAATTTCCTCTGAATTGTCGGCTTTACTAATGTGTTTCTTTCACTAACAAACCGAGACTTACAAATGTGTTTCATTGCTTCTTTAGTTGCGCTGGATCAGGGCTTGGACTCAAATTTAATTATCAATCAGATCAATCTCTTTTATATGTCCAGTGAACAAGGCGATAAATGGTTACTGGCTTCATACCAACATTGTAATGGCCCCTTAAGGCCATTGCTCAATTCAAGGAGAAAAAGACTTTTTATTGGTTGGATATGCAACACATAGCGATATATTGCCTATCCAATGAAGTTCTAATGCAATCTTTAATTGACTCTACTCCAACTAAATATGACTTAGCGATGACAGTGCGTTTAAGTAAATTGTACAGTTATGCTTTGAAGCGCGTACAAAAATCATATATATCTTGAGCGAACGTACTAGAAATCGCTTGGAACTCTTAGAATATCTCATAGGAACATTTTTTCGCTACATTCTAAAGATTTGTTGGAAGAGAATTTAGAGCAATTGCTTAAGCGTAGTGTATTGAAAGCTGCCTGCTTGAAGAATGAATTGGAATTAATGCAAATGGCAATAGAGGCTTACCAGCGCTTTGAGATATTTTACAAAACGTTTGATGATGAATTCATAAGCTGTGATGAAGCCTTAATCGATTGGAAATTGTTGATGGATGATTTAATGTTTTTAGCCCAGTACTTGCAATCTGCCGGATATTTGGAACGCAGTTCGTATGCTTGGTTATTACTTCACAAAACTGCTTTACTTGTAGAAGACGATTACACAGCTCTGAAATGTTCGATTTTTATGTGCGATTATGTTGACTTTATCGACGTTGTCACACCAGTTTTACTGGCTATCCTTCAAATTGCTTATTATTATGCTCGTTGCTCAAGATACGCTGCAGATGATGAAAGAGAAGCAGGATAGTTTAAATGATCGTCAAGGCAAATATGATTTGATTAAAGACACTCTAAATGCTATTAGGATATGTTTGTTATGCAAACTATACGATAATAGTTCAGGCTATAAATTTGCTAATAAATGAATTTCTTACGGAAAATTAGTGCAACTATCGACTACTTTCATGAGCTTACTTACATTAAATTAAATTACATTTGCGTTTGGAGATAGCGGAATGCGTAGCTAACATGTATTTAAATTACTTGAAATATCTTATCTTTTCTCACTTCTTTCAATTCTTTCAACTCTCCGTTTGTACAATTTGCGAAGCTATATAATTCACTAAGAGCTTCCAGAATAAATCGGCCGGCGAAGGACTTTTCATCTAGAATAACATCGTTCGGTGGCAAAATCGGTAATTTGTAGTTAGCAGATGCAAGCTCCTATCACGGTACCTCACCGCGAGAAGAATTTTATGGTATATGGAAAGTGAGTTCCGTGCTAGCAATAAAAATGGTTTCTGTTTTGCGGCAGAAGAAGATTGTTGAAGATTGCACTGCAAACAGCCTTGAGGCTTACAATAATGTACCCCTGTTTAATGATGTTTAACAACAAAAACATTTATTTGTTTTTTTGGATTGTTGGTTGGAGATGGACTAAGCCAATAGATTTGTGGCTTATATGTCCAGATAATAAAATGTCGTAATTTTGATCAGAAATATGTATGAAACGTGACAAAAACAAGAGCGGCCGTAATAACTGTAGCCGGTATGTTAAGTGTGATTGTGTGTGTATGTGTAAATCTGTCAGTTGAGTGTTGAAAGTAAAACAGTGTTGCAAACTTTGGCTGAAATCGAAAAAGGAATGCTGTGGTAATAGAAAATGAATGAACCTCAGAAAAAATAAAGGAAGAAGCAGAAGAAAGAACTCTTACATGATAAATTCGCTTTTTTAATAAATCAAGTTAGTTCCCCGAGATGACGCACATTTTTTGCTGCAAAGAGATCGAGGAGACAGTCACACAACCTGAAGAAACTAAAGGTATCTCTAATGCCATCAAGCCTGTGACATTTGAAGATTAGATGCTCAGCAGACTCGACAACATTGCATAGTATGGTGCGAATTATTTTTAAATAAACTTAATCATAAGTGTGACCACTCATGAGTCTATAAAGAATTTTGATTTTCCAGGAGTTAAAAGGCGATACAGAAAAGGATTTGAATTGAAATGTGGGATTTAATTTATAGAAAAGGCGATTGGATTTAACACGCGCGACCTCTTTAAATCTGTCGTTGAGCTGTTGAAGGATGTGGTTGCGAATTGCCCGAATTGATTCATTGAGAGTGTATTTGATGGACAAAATTGTTTCATCAACACGAGCTCTCCCTACAAGAAAGTCGGCTTTTACATTTAAAAAAAAGCCGCAGTGGTCAAGTACCCAAACAAGGTGACAATCATCTACTTGAGACTCATGCAACATCTTATGAATATCAAACTAGTATTCTCTGCATCTCCTTTATTTATTAGAAGTAGAGCTGACTTGCTATCAGAAAAAAACAAACCTTTTGATATCATCAGAGATAACAACCTTAATAGCATGTCGGATGGCGAGCAATTCAATAAAAGTCGGGGAAAGTTCCTCCG